ATTAAAAATAATGACACCAAAAATTGGGGAAAAAAAGCCATTTTGAAAGCAGCCGTCAAGCTGCAGCCTCGCTTTTTTAGTTTATTCCTCCTTTTTTTTATAATTTTCTTTAATAATGGAGAATGTGATCGAGAAAAATAGAAAATGGGCTTTTCCTGCTTTAAAAGTCCCTTTTCCTGGTCAAGTTGTCCCCAAAAGCAGTGGGTGCCACCCCTCCGTGTCACCACGGGGACAATGTGTCCCCCCCCCCTCCCCGGGTTGTCCATCCAGGACATCACCATCCAGGTCCATCCAACCCCATCCCTGATGCCTCCAACCCCATCCTTGGTCCATCCAACCCCATCCAGGTCCATCCATCCCCATTCAGGTCCACCCATCCCCATCTCTGGTCCATCCATCCCCATCCAGATCCATCCAACCCCATCCCTGGTGCCTCCATCTCCATCCCTGGTCCATCCAACCCTATTCCTGGTCCATCCAACCCCAACCAGGTCCATCCAGCCCCATCCAGGTCCATCCATCCCCATCCCTGGTCCATCCAGCCCCATCCAGGTCCATCCAACCTCATCCCTGGTCCATCCAGCCCCATCCAAGTCCATCCCTCCTCATCCCTGGTGCCTCCATCTCCATCCAGGTCCATCCAACCCTATTCCTGGTCCATTCATCTCCATCCCTCATCCATCCAACCCAATCCAGGTCCATCCAACCCAATCCAGGTCCATCCAGCCCCATCCAGGTCCATCCATGCCCATCTCTGGTCCATCCATCCCCATCCATCCCCATCCAGATCCATCCAACCCCATTCCTGGTGCCTCCAGCCCCAACCAGGTCCATCCATCCCCATCCAGCCCCATCCCTGCTGCCTCCAACCTCATCCCTGCTCCATCCAACCCCAACCAGATCCATCCTTGCCCATCCAGGTCCATCCAGCCCCATCCAGATCCATCCAACCCCATCCCTGGTGCCTCCAGCCCCAACCAGGTCCATCCAGTCCCAACCAGGTCCATCCATCCCCATCCAGATCCATCCATCCCCATCCCTGGTGCCTCCAACCCCATCCCTGGTCCATCCAATCCCAACCAGGTCCATCCAACCCCAACCAGGTCCATCCAGCCCCATCCAGGTCCATCCAACCCCATCCAGGTCCATCCATCCCCATCCCTGGTCCATCCAACCCTGTCCCTGGTCCATCCATGCCCATCCAGGTCCACCCATCCCCATCTCTGGTCCATCCATACCCATCCAGATCCATCCAACCCCATCCCTGGTGCCTCCAGCCGCAACCAGGTCCATCCAATCCCAACCAGGTCCATCCATCCACTTCCAGGTCCATGCAGCCCCATCCCTGGTGCCTCCAACCCCATCCCTGGTCCATCCAATCCCAACCAGGTCCATCCAGCCCCATCCAGGTCCATCCAACCTCATCCCTGGTCCATCCAGCCCCATCCAAGTCCATCCCTCCTCATCCCTGGTGCCTCCAACCCCATCCCTGGTCTATCCAATCCCAACCAGGTCCATCCAATCCCAACCAGGTCCATCCATCCCCATCCCTGGTCCATTCATCCCCATCCAGATCCATCCAACCCCATCCCTGTTGCCTCCAACCTCATCCCTGGTCCATCCAGCCCCATCCAAGTCCATCCAGCCTCATCCCTGGTCCATCCATGTCCATCCAGGTCCATCCAGCCCCATCCCTGGTCCATTCATCTCCATCCCTCATCCATCCAACCCAATCCAGGTCCATCCAACCCCATCCCTGGTGCCTCCAACCCCATCCCTGGTCCATCCAATCCCAACCAGGTCCATCCAACCCCAACCAGGTCCATCCAGCCCCATCCAGGTCCATCCATCCCCATCCCTGGTCCATCCAACCCCATCCAGGTCCATCTATCCCCATCCAGGTCCATCCAGGTCCATCCAGCCCCATCCCTGGTGCCTCCAACCCCATCCCTGGTCCATCCCTGGTCCATCCATGTCCATCCATCCCCATCCCTGGTCCATCCATGTCCATCCAGGTCCATCCAGCCCCATCCCTGGCCCATTCATCTCCATCCCTCATCCATCCAACCCAATCCAGGTCCATCCATCCTCATCCCTGCTGCCTCCAACCCCATCCCTGCTCCATCCAAGCCCAACCAGGTCCATCCAACCTCATCCCTGGTCTATCCAGCCCCATCCAAGTCCATCCCTCCTCATCCCTGGTGCCTCCATCTCCATCCAGGTCCATCCAACCCCAACCAGGTCCATCCAGCCCCATCCCTGCTGCCTCCAACTCCATCCCTGGTCCATCCAACCCTATCCAGGTCCATCCATCCCCATCCCTGGTCCATTCATCTCCATCCCTCGTCCATCCAACCCAATCCAGGTCCATCCATCCCCATCCAGGTCCATCCAGATCCATCCATCCCCATCTCTGCTGCCTCAATCCCCATCCCTGGTCCATCCCTGGTCCATCCGTGTCCATCCAGGTCCACCCATT